AATTTAGTTTTAAAAATAGCGGTAAACGTTGTACATAACAAACTTGTTAATAATAATTACACAACATTTTATGTTTGTTTGTTTGTTTCACATTGGAAGAGACAACTCACCACTCTTTACAAAAATTTGTGATTTTATTTTATATCTCATCATATAAATTATTTAGCAATAAGTCATAAAACAAATTCTTATTGTATGCTATAAACTAAGATGAACAAACAAACAAACAAAAAATAATTGCATAACAACAACAAACAACAACTGCAAAATGTTTTCAAACATAATTGGACAAACGTAAAAATAATATTTGTCCATTTTAACATAAACAATTGGTAATAAAAAAAAAGGAAATGTTTTGTAAATCGTTTTGTTTTTGTAATCAATCACAAATTATTTTTATAATGATGATAATAATAATAATAATAATAATAATAATATTAATATTTACTTTATAAGGTATAAAAATTTAAATTAATTTGTTTAGTGAACACAAACCATGGCAATGAAATTTATTTAACAAAATATTACTCATTTTCATAAAAATAAAAAAAAATATTTATAGTTGCAATGGTTGAAGGTGATCATAATGAATCGATAATAATAATAATGATAATAATAATAATAATTTAAATAAATTTTAAAATAATTAATAATTGGAAATACCCATTTAATTAAAAAATCGTGATTGATTCAGTGAAATCTACACTTAAAATTATTTTTTTATTATTATCATTATCATTATTATTTCTTTCTCTTCCATTACGTTCACTCACCGTACGTAATAAATTACGTAATTTTTTTTTTTTTTTAATAATAATTTTCTTAAAAGTTTTTTTTTTTTGCTTTTTCCATCATTAAAAAAATTTCTCTTTCAAAAAAAAAAAAAAAATTTTATCAATTAAATTTAATATAATTGAGTGAAATTTTATTTGAGATAAAAAAAAAACTCACGATTGTTTTAATTAAATAATTTTTAATGATTTTTTTTTCTGCAGACGACATTTTATTTATATAAAATACAAAAAAAAAAAAAAAAATTTATCGTGGCATTAGTATGAAAAAAAAAAAAAAATTATAAAAATACCAAACGTAAATTTATTTTTCATTAATTTTTTTTTTAAATTTAAATGAGTGAAAATATTTACCAAAGTATTATTATTATTATCATTATTATTATTATTATTACAATTGTATACAAAATAATAATAATAAATAATAATAATAATAATATTAAAAAACAAAATAGCGAAATTGGAAATGATGGTATAATTTTTTTTAAAAAATTCTTTTTTCCTTTTTTTGTTAACCGCAAATTTGATTTTCGATAGATTTTTCGAATTGAATAATTTTCTTTTTCTTTTTACACGACCTTTTTCTTCTGTATCCGGTTCATAAAAGTTATCACTAATTAAAAAATTTCAATTTAAATTCGAATTTTTTAATCGATTCGTTAAAATTTTTTTTTTCTCTCTCTACAATTTTTAATTTTTTTTTTTATTAAAAATTATCATCCTTTTTTGTTTTTGCTTTCGTTTAAAAATATGTTAATCGTAGCAAAAAAGTATTATTATTATTATTTTAATTCATTCCAAATTACAAATAGAAATATTTATTTAAACAGTTCGTAATAAGTCAAAAAATATATATAAAATTTTTTAATATATAACCAGGGAATCATTTTAAAATTTTCAACGAATTATTTCTTCTCCCCACCCCCACCCCCCCCCGGAATAATAATAATAATAATATCGAATCTCAATAAATTTTCCAAAAAAAAAAAAAATTTTAATTAATAAATAAAATTTATTACTTACTGGAATATTAACATAAGCGTGTGTCAATTTCCTATTCATTCATTCTTCCTACCTTCCTTCCTTCCTTCCTTCCATCTTTTTCCTTATTTCATTCCAAAAAACTGGAAAAAAAATTTTTCTGGAAAAAGAAAAAATTTCGTTAGTTTTTTTAAATCATAATAATAATAATAATAACAAAAATGAAAAAAGAGTTCATTACTCTCACAAAAGAAACTACACTTTCCCTTTTCCAAAAAAAAAAAAAAAATAGGTAGGACCTTAACCTAGTAAATTTTAATTTATATAAATAAATAATAATAATAATATTAAAGTTATAGTAAAATAAAAATTAATCACGTGGGATGGCGAAAGAAAAAAAAATTTAAATTTAAATTAATATAAACGGATGTAAAAAAAAAAAAAAAAAAATTAACATTGAATTTATATATTTGACGGTTAAAATTTTTTTTTTTTTTTTTTAAATGCGATGATATTATGGAGAAAAAAAAAACTGCGGTGTCCCGGTTAGTAAGTCAAGCCCCTTTGATTTTTTCTAAATGGAATTATGTACGTCAGTCAGTTAGTTACATAAAATGAAAATATTGTTAAATGTGTGAGTTATACGTTTGTTACATAATGGTTAAAAGGTTTTTTTTTTTTTAAATTTGTTTGGACTTTGATTTTTAGGCATCAGGTCGGTGACATTGAAAAGTTCTTCGTGCCTGGTACTGAGTTGATCTAGCCTCAGGTATTCAGTTGCGGATTGGTTAAAATTTTTTTTTTTTTTAAAGTGAAATATGCTCGTCTACTACTAACAGGTTTTTCTTTTTCTTCTTCTTTCCTTCTTCTTATTTTTTCACATGTCTCACACACACACACGTACACTAATCTGTACCTGGTAAACCTTCAAGACGAGTTTAATGAATCGTTTTATTATTTATCAGCGGCAATGAGTCAAAGAGTAAGGCTAAGTGATTGGCAAATCTTTTTTTTTTTTTTTTGCCTTTTTAAACTTTTCTTTGTCATCGTACACGCATTTTGTATTATTATTATTATTATTATTACAAAATTTAATATACTGTGACGACATATTTTTTTTTTTAAACACGCATAACGATAATAATAATAATAATAATGATAGATACATATAATTCGATTTAAAATCGTTTAATCATTCATTTCAATTATTTTTGTGACAGATGAAAATGAAACTTTGATAAAAAATTAAATATTTTATTTACAATCTCATCCATTCATCGATCTATCGATTGATTGATTATCGAAAAAAGAGGGGGCGTGAATGATTAACAATTAATTATTTTAAATTTAATATAATTTTATTGTAAAAAAAAAAAAAGAAAAAAAAGAAAAATTTAATATTTGATGTTTAATTTTTAATTAATTTTAAAGTCGAAAAAAATTACATTATTTAAAAATAATATTTTTTAATAAAAAATAATAATGATAATAATAATACACGTGACAATTTAAATTAATGGAAGACATTAACGTCATTTTTTTTTAATAATAATAATTAAATACATAATCATTCGTATAACTTTTTTTTTTTTTTTTTTTATTTAAAGATTGAAAAATAATTCGTACGTAGTTTATAAATAAAAAAAAAATAAAATAGATATTTTAATACGTATGATAATAATAATAATAATAATTTTTAAAAGGCAAATAAATGTCACATGTTTTTATTATATAAAGAATAAAGTTTTTTTGTTGTTGTTGTTAATTTAATGCCATAATCAATGATATAATACTCGGACTGTGTTGAATGGATGTTATTATTTCATTTCGACACGAAAAGTAAAGCCATCCTGTTTTATGTATTCATTTAAATTTAAAAAAGACATTAAAAATTTAACTTCTCGACCATTTGTATCGTTCGTTATTATTATTATTATTTTTTTTTTACGGAATGTTTAAAAAATATCCTTTGAATATTTATTATAATTTTTTTTTTTTTACAAAACCTTTGTCGTTTGTTTTTTATTTATTTAAATAAATTAAAAATTAATAATGACCCTAAAAAAAATTTTTATGTTTAATTAATCGAAAAAAAAAGTGGCATATCGCATTTAAATTTTTTTTTATTGTTACAAACAATAAAAAAGACATTGAGCAAAAAAAATATTATTTTAAATGTGTGTTGATAATAATAATAATAATTAAAAAATGTGCATTTTAATTTCGCTAATGTTTTTGAAACGTTTATTGTACGTGATCTACGTTTATCATTCATATATTCCATTAACAAAAAGAGAGTATGTATGTGCGAAATTTAGTCAGAGACATAATTAGTCTCGTATTTAGTATTCATAACGAATCGATTTTAGTCATTATTTAAAATTTTTAACTAATTTAAAAAAAGATAAAAACGAACGTTTAATTCATTTTTTTTTTTTTGTATTAATTGACGACGACGACGAAAAATTAACTAAAAAAAAAATAAAACTTATTAACTTAAAAAAATTTTTAAATAATATATATATAATAAAAATTTAAAATAATAAAATAATAATAAAAAACTTCATTTTTTTTCTCTTTTCTTTTTTTTCTTATTACAATTAAAAAAAATTTTTGGGATGTTTTTAGTTTTCGTTTCGGTCCCAACCTTTAAAAAAATTTTTTTTATTATTATTATTTAAATTTATTTGTAAAAAAAATAATAAAATTTCCGTCGGTATTATTTACCCCAATCATTTTTTTTTTTTTTTTTTTTTAATATTACTTCTACCGTAACTTAAACTTTTTTTTTTCCTAATTATCATTATCTATATCGAATAATTAAAATTAAAAAAAAAAAAAAAAAAAAAAAATTATCCCCAAATATACCATAATATCATAATTATTTATTTATAAAATTTCTGAAAGGCCTTAATCTTAACTTTTTTTCTTTTTTTTTTCATAAATAAAAAATTATTTTCACAAGAGAAAAAAATATTTGAATTTTTAAGAAAATAGAAGAGAAAAAAAAAACTGTGACGACACTAACAAAATAATAAATGATTATTTATTTATTTATTTTTTGTAAATGTTTTCATTCAGAAAGATTGAAAGCCTTTCAAAAAAAAATAATAAAAAAAAAATTATTGTGTAAAACATATTTTTTTTTTTTTTTTTTAATGTTTAAACCGAGGGTTGTTGTATAAAACCATCGAAAACGATATAAAAAAAAAAAAAAAATTATATAATTTATGTTTGTTTCTTTTTCTTAATATTTTCTAAATAAACTTGTAAGCCTTTTTGTATTTCTGGTGATGTGACAAATTTAGTAAACACTCTCAAATCATGTTCTCTATTATCTTGAAGACGTTTAATTGCGTCATATCTGAGTGATAATTTTGTCTGACTCATTGCATGCACTGAAATAATAATTTATAAACACGCTAATAATAATAATAATAATAATATCGAAATTAAAAATCGATTAAAAAAATTTTACTTATCTCTAATAATAAAATTTAATATGATTACTTTTTTCAATTCTTATATTATTTTAAAAAACTTTGTGTTATATGTTTTAATATCTCTTCCAAATAATAATAATAATAATAATAATAAAAACAACTCACAACTGTAAGAAGATAACTGACTAATGTAAGCATTGGCTCTTTCAATGGCAGCATTATTATCCTCGACAACTTCATCGACCAAATTAATTTTAAGGGCTTCATCTGCAGTAAATAGTTTTCCAGAAATCAACGCCAATTCTGATTGCCTCTTAGACACAATATTTCTGAATGTGTCAATAAACCTAATTATATTTAAAATTTACACTTTTAATTTTTATTCGATATTAAAAAAAAAAAAAAAAAAAAAAAAAAATTTGATTTAATTTTATTTACCACGATGGAACTACCAATCCAAGCTGTGTTTCATTTAATCCAATCGAAGATTTTCCTTGCACCATAACTCTGTAATCACAACTACATGCTATTAAACATCCTGCACCTGGACTATGACCCTAAAAGACACAAATGGTATATTTTAAAATAAATAATTTTTTTCGCACAAGTGTATAAGTCCTTGACGATAACTTGATAAGAAAGAATGAAAAAAGCATTAACTGTTATTGCGGCAGCGGTGGGATAAGCAGAACTGTATAAATGTAACCATAAGTCTTGAAGAGCTGTCCAATAAGCTTTAACTCTATCTGGGTTTGGCTGATAAAGTTCCATTATATCTATTCCAGCAGAAAAAATACCAGGACTAGACTGGAAAAAAAATTCACACTTTAATTAATTGATTTGTGACTAATTGATTTGAACAAATGTGACTAAAACAATAGAATCCATGAAAAAATTTGTAAATTTTTAAAATTGAAATCGTGGAATGTTTTTATTTACATTAAAATAAATAACTACATATTTTCCTGATAATTGTGAATAGATAATAACCATGAAATCATTTCAAACAAATTATTTAACGACTGAAATATTTTAAGTAACGCTTATAATTAAAGACACATAAATAACTTACTGAAGAAATAATCATTCCTTTGCCTTTATCTTTTTCTATTTGCACCATTGTATTAGTTAATTCAGAAACTAATTCTAAATTTAAACTATTAACCGGAGGTCTTGACATCAAAACTGTAGCAATTCCTGTTTTACTGTTAACCTGAACATTAACCAGGTTAGAACTTCCATAGGCTCTAATATTTTTAATCACTGAATTTTTTGAACTTAATGTGTAATTTTTTAAAAAAAATTTATTTAACTTCAGGGTATTCATCTAAAATAAAAATTATCGAATAATAGTTATGTCATAAAAATAGTTCACTTTGTAAAAGTGAACTAAAGTATTATATTTTTGGCTTATCATTTTAAATAAGGAAAAACGCAGTAAAAGTAAACTTACCATGATGACAGAATTATTCATTTGCAATATCAAAAATAATTATATAAAAGAATTTTTTTAAAAAATTATAATAATAATTAAAAAATAAAAAAAAGTAAATCAAAGAAATTAATCAACTACCAAAGTGGTGAACGCCATTTCTAAGAAATCATGGAAATGTTACGGAAAACATTGGAGGGAAAAATGTCGTCACTCTGACAATTGACTCTTTATAATCAATTCCAAATATTATTTAATCAGTTATCCTTTGAGATAGAAAATTAATAAAATGTGGCGTAATATAAACATTTTCTCAACAAAAACAACAAAATATTATTTTACCTTTTGTAAAATCAAAAGTCAGCAAAATGCATGTTTAATAAGAAGTTATTATATTACCAAAAAAAAAAAAAAATTGCAAAGGAAACATTTAATAAAATAGTTTATTTAAAGGTTTCATGATTTAATATAAAACTGTTGTAAATGAAACTTACTTTTTCAAGTCATGTAAATGAAAATATAAACAGAAAAATAATAGTAATTATTTTTATTTATTGCCTTATACATATAAGTAATAATTTATTTGATTTAAGTTAAAAAAAAACTTTTCAAGTAAATCACTGAAAAAAAAAAAATTGATTCTTCACATTCAATTACCATAACTGTAAGCAAGTTTTCAATGTTTGAGCACAGTAAAAACGATAAAATTCACTCACTCATGATTCTATTCTTTGAAAAATCACCACACTAGTAATAGTAAATAAAAAAAAAATTGCTTCATTTTGATATCATTAATTTTTTAATCTTTTTTCTTATCTGCCCCTGATTGTTTTTTATTTAAAAATATTTTGTCAATAAATGCCTACAGGCAAAAGTTATAAAAAAAAGATCGACTTCGAGAAGCAAAATTTTGTTCTTTGGAATTGTCCCCGAATGATAAGTACCCTCAAGTTCTCTGAGCCATTGTGCTATTGCCAGGAGCAACAGACATATCTCCACTTTGAGTACTATCTCTCTGTGGGCTCTAAAAAAAAAAAAAAAAAAAAATGCTTAGTTTTACAATAACAATTACGTAATCATCATCGAATATGGCTTACTTTGACGTGAATTTGATGTTTAAGCATGGCGGCTCTAAGTATCAACATTCTAGTTCTTCTTTGATAATATTTTCCAATTTGAAGAGATTTTTCAAATGTTGTGCTTCTTTGATCGACATCCTTTGCATACAGAATCTATAAATTGAATTTAATAAATAAATATCTTATGTGCAGTTTAATTTTCAATAATTATCATACCTTGTTGTGCGAATCTATTCGAGCCTGTATTTGCCCATCAAGAATAAGCTGCATTAATTCATCTTCCAAAGCAGGAACGGTAGTATTAAATGCAGCAGCCATTTTTTTCATATCAGCTGACATGTATGGACTAAAACATAACAAAAAAAAAAATGTTTAAATCAAAGAAAAATATTTGATACATTTTCGATAAAGTTTTGAAATATTATAATAAGGTGATAAAACTAAGTATTAGAAAACTATTTGAAAAAAAAATTATATTACCTAAAATACTGTATGAGAGCTCTGTTTCTTATTTGCATATATAGTTTACTGACATGTGGTGCAATGTACATATCTAATAATAAATAATCTTTCATTTCATCCAAGAGTGTTAAGCATGAAGCATATTTGGATTCATAAAATTTAAATATAATATCTCTCAACTGAGGCTCCAGTTCGAGGAATAATTTAAAAGAACTGAAATTTTAAGTTTTTTTTTTTTTTTTATATGATGACCGCAAAAATAATAAATGATGGCACTTTTTTTTTTTTTTTTCTATGCAAACATACCTACTAACAATAACATTTTTTTGTAAATCATTACGATCAAAAGTGGCTAAAGCGCATAAACCGCCATAAATTGCGACATTACTAGGTGATAGCAATTCTGGAAAATCACAGTGATCGAAATTTGCTTGTAGGAAATGTTTTGCAGCAGATTTATATTTTTTCGATGCTAATTCAGCTAAACCAGCTGCACATTTCAATTTAGTTAAAATTGTTTGGTTATATTGACTTTCTTTTGAATGCATTTCAGAAAAATCTGGTGTCGCTTCGGCTTTGCTCACATAACTAAGAACATGAGACCAGTTTTGTAAATATACACTCACCTAAAATAGAAAAATTAAAAAAAATTTTTTTTTCCTAATTTTACTTTCCTATTCATTTCAATTTTTTATAGCTTATATTTATGATTCTTTGAAGTGAAAGAAAAAGACATAAAACTTAATGAACAAAATTATAAAAAGGAAAATTTTTGACTTACTTTAATAACATTCAAACACATATTGACAATATGTTTTCCACTTGTACAATAGTCCCTAGCTCTAGAATAACATTTTAATGCATTTGGTAAATCTCCACAGTCTAAGAAATGATCACCCAAATCATCATGGCCCCTTCTTATACTCTCCTTAATTGAATTCGATTTATAATTTTTCAAATCGGCATCTAATTTTTCTAATTTAACAGCAGCTTTTTTAGATTTTGTTTCAACCCAAATAACATCTAATGAAGGAAAGTCTTGAGATGTTGATTGTGCTCCTCCAGCAACATCAGGAAGACTTGATACACTTCTATTTAAGTAAATAACAAAAAAATTAATGAATAATAAAATTAAAAATATAGAAATAATTAAAGATTTAAAATGTTTACCCAACAGCATTTTGTAGACTTTTATGGAGTTGTTGATATAAAATGACATTGTATGTGTTCATAACATATGATAAAGCCATTTTCAATGCTTCAACCCTAAGAGCAGGGCAATGGTCAGCAATGTATTTTAATCTATTCAGTCTAGCAAGACCTGTGTAACTGTTTGCATAAGTTTCTAAATCTATTGTTGGGTTTTCTACAACATGAGGCTCCTCTTCGGTGTTGTCATTATCTTCTGGTGGAGCATCAACTTGCATGGGCTCCACCGCAGCCTTCATCATATAAAACACCAAGAAAATGTATTTGAATGAATATTTAAAATTTTTAATGATTTAAATAATATAATTATAAACGGAAAAACAAATTTCAGTCAAATAAAAACCATTTCTTAAATTTATTTGTGATTACATATCACAGTCCTCAATAATTTTTATAAATTATTTAAAATTACTAAATTAAAGTCGTGCTTTCTGATAGGCAATGCGATTTATGAAAGTTTATTAAGAAATTTGAAAAGTTATAAATAATTTAATGATGTAAACTTTTAATAAAATAAAAGTAATGTAAATTTGTCGGTGTAACCCTATTTGGATAAAACTTATTTATAAAACTTCATACCTTTTCACCGTCTGGAAAGCAAACGGTGGATGTTGCACGCGCAATAATTTGCGTCAAATCCATTATAGTTGACAAAATAAATAGGAAAATATAACGATTGTTAAACTTGTAATTTTTTTTTTTTTTTTCTTTACAAATACAATGTTTATAATGGCCGATATCGAATCATAATAGCTTTTTCCACGGAAGTAATACTGTGATGTTTTTGCTTCAAAAGTAGTCGGTACTAGTTTTTTTTTTTTTAATGTTAAATTTTGAACCGGTTTTTTATCTGAGTATTAGTAAAAAAAAAAAAAAATACAAATTATTTTTACCTGATACAGAGATGGTTGCATTGGCGGTAGTGGCATTCTTTTTTTAGTAATGAATCTTATTGGTTGGTAAAAAATTATAAATGGCGGTGGCAGCTTTACTTGCGCAGATGCTAACAAATTATAATCAAAAAAGCTTTATCATTTATAAAAAAAAAAAAAGAAGAAAAAAAAATT